GAGGGAGGGAGGGAGAGAAGGAGGGAGAGGGAGAAAGGGAGGGAGAGAGGGAGGGAGGGAGAGAGAGAAAAAGGGAAGGAGAGAGGGAGGGAGAAAGAGGGAGGGAGAGAGAGAAGGAGAGAAGGAGGGAGAGGGAGAGAGGGAGGGAGGGGGAGAGGAAGGGGGAGAGAGGTAGAGGGAGGGAGAGGGAGGGAGGGACAGGGAGACAGGGAAGGAGCCAGGAGCAGGAGTTGGGGCACCCAGGGGGAAATGGGGGATTTCTGTCCCGGAAAGATTGTATCCCTGCATTCATACTCATCTTTATTCTTATACCTTTTATCTTCCAAACAATTGTCAAATCCAAGAAAAACTAAAAAAGGACTGGAGGGGAGGAGGAGAGGAAAAGGGCGGGATCAACTGGGGCTATCCAGGGAAAAAAAGGCTCCCTGGTCTTGATGAGCTGGAGGCCTAAGGAACCCTGGGGGAGAAGTGAGGAAGCCCCCACCGGCAGCTCTTTGTGCATGGGGGGAGGGGTTGCAATCCTTCCTTCCTCTCTGGCTGCTCCCCTCCTGCCTGGGGAGGCTGCAGTGGGGGGAGGAAGAGAGAGCTGAGGGGAGGAGAGAAGAAACGGGCCCCCACCCCATACATATGGGGGTGTTGACTTTCTCCATTTTCCCCCTCTTTGAAGCACAAGGCATCCTACGGATTGCACAGGAGTCGGAGTGATCCCGGAGCCTCAGTGTCCCCATTGTGCAGGCAAGAAAAGCGGAATGCAAAGTGGAAAACGTGGCATGGGAGCCAGCCAAGCGCATCCGTGAACCCCAACTGGCAGTCAGAGGACATGATGAAAAGTCCTTACTCTCACAATATAGGGATAGACCCAACCATCGTTTCACCTGGGAAACTGTGAGCAAGCCAAATCCAGAAAACAGTAGAGAATTCCTGGAGGCTTGGCACTTACAGTGGACTAATTGGCCATCAACAGGCACATAGAGATAAACAGCATCTACATCCCACTTAAAAGATACAGTCCAAACACCCAAAGGAAACAAAAA